TAAAAATTAAGTCCCCAAACAAATTTCAGGTATGAATTTGAATGTTAATTTTAATTTTCCTTTTCTACTTATTCTGTTTATCAGTCAGTTGCCTGGCACTTAGGTATGACCTAGTTGGAGCCTGTTGTAGTGAAGTGAAGATGTGAAACATGGTGGAATTATTTCAGGGCATTAACAGTTTCCCTCAGTCTTATTACTCATTTGAAGTATACCTTTATCAAAGCCTGAAACTGCTTTGAATATCTGTATTGAGAGAATTTTCTTCGTGCACTTGAAATTCATGAGAATTTTTCTGTGAATGAACTGGTGACCTACAACTTGGCACAAAACAAGGTACTGCTTTACTGAAATGATGGACAGTGAACCTGAAAGAGCCAGAGTCAAACTCTATGATGCCTTGTCTAAGTGTTTCGTTGGAGCATCATCTTATACACCAAGAGGTTGTTGGTTCGATTCCTGGTCAGGGCACATACCTAGGTTGAAGGTTCCATCCCTGGTTGGGGCATATACAGGAGGCAGCCGATTGATGTTTCTCTCTCCCTCTCAATTCAATAAACACTAGAGGCCCGGTGCACAAAATTCATGCACTGGCGGGGGGGGGGGCGTCCCTCAGCCCAGACTGCACCTTCTCGCAGCCTGGGAGCCCTCAGGGGATGTCCCTATGGGGAGCGGGCCTAAGCCATCAGTCAGACATCCTTAGTGCTGCTGCGAGGCTTCCATCACCGCTGCTGTGCTAGCCACTTCTGGCTGAGCAGTGCTTCCCCTGTGGGAGCACACTGATCACCAGGGGACCTCTCCTGCATTGAGCATCTGCCCCCTGGTGGTCAGTGCATGTCATAGCGATCGGTTGTTCTGCTGTTTGGTCGATTTGTATATTAGCCTTTTATTATATAGGACTAGAGGCCCGGTGCACAAAAATTTGTGCACTCGGGGGGGAGGGGGTTCCCTCAGCCCGGCCTGTGCCCTCTCGCAGTCTGGGACCCCTCGGGAGATAACGACCTGCTGGCTTAGGCCTGCTCCCGGGTGGCAGAGGGCAGGCCCAATCCCTAGGTGCAGCCCCTGGTTGGGCTCAGAGCAGGGCCGATTGGGGAGTTGGGACGCCGCCCCCTGTCATGCACAGAGCAGGGCGGATTGGGAGGTTGCGATGCCACCCTCAGTCACGCTCAGGGGGGTTGGGGCACCGCCCCCTGTCACACTCAAGGCAGGGTCAATAGGGAGGTTGTGGCACCACCCCCTGTCACGCACAGAGCAGGGCCCATTAGGGGGTTGAGGACCTCCCCCCTATCACTCACAGAGTAGGGCCAATAGGGGAGTTGGGGCACCGCCCCCTGTCACACACAGAGCAGGGCGGATCAGGGGATTGGGATGCCTCCCTCTATCACCCACAGAGCAGGGCCGATCAGGGGGTTGGGGTGCCGCCACTCTCACACTCAGGGCAAGGCCGATGGGGAGGTTATGGCTCTACCCCATCACACACAGGGCAGGGCCCGTGGTGGGGGGCCGGGGGGGGGGGGTTGGGTCGCCGCCCACTATCACCCACAGAGCAGGGCTGATCAGGGGGTTGGGGCGCCACCACTCTCACACTCAGGGCAGGGCTGATGGGGAGGTTATGGCTCTACCCCGTCACACACAGAGCAGGGCCTGTGGGGTGGGGGGGTGGGGCGCCGCACCCTGTCACACACAGAGCCGCAGGGCGATCAGGGAGTTGGGGCGCCTTCCCCTGTCAGGAACAGAGCAGGGCTGATAGGGAGGTTGTGGCCCCGCCCCCTGTCACACACAGAGCCACAGGGCGATCAGAGGGTTTGGGCGCTGCCCCCTGTCATGCTGATCCCGGTGCCGGGAGGCCTCTCAGCTCCGCTGATCCCAGTGCTGGGAGGCATATTACCCTTTTATTATATAGAATAGAGGCCTGGTGCATGGGTGGGGGCCAGCTGGTTTGCCCTGAAGGGTGTCCTGGATCAGGGTGGGGGTCCCCACTGGGGTGCCTGGCCAGCCTGGATGAGGGGATGATGGCTGTTTGCAGCTGGTCACACACCCTTCAGGGTGAGGGTCCCCACTGGGGTGCCTGGCCAGTCTGGGTGAGGGGCTGAGGGCTGTTTTCAGGCTGGGACTGAAGCTCCCAACTGCTCCTTTTTTTCTTTTCTTTTTTTCATTCTGGGCCAGCTTTAGTCTGGCTCCAGCTCTGAGGCCTCAGCTGCTGAAAGAAGGTATCTGGTTTGTTTGGGTTCTATAATCGAAACAATGTATAACTCCAGCTCTGAGATCCGAGCTCTCTGAAAGCTGGTTTCTGGGGTTTTGTTTAGCTTCTATATTTGTTACAATGTTTCTTAAACTGCAAGCTCAGAGGCCGGCAAGGCAGGCGGGGAACATTGCAGTCCTCCGTCACTGAAGCAAGCAAGCCTCATGTTCAGTTTAAGCTGCCTGGCTGCTGGCCGCCATCTTGGCTGGCAGTTAATTTGCATATCGCCCTGATTAGCCAATGGGAAGGTAGCGGTCGTATGCCAATTACCATGTTTCTCTTTTATTAGATAGGATATCCTCAGGTTAGGATTAAATAAAGCGCTCTATGACAGGTTGAGGGTCCAGGGGAGTCAGGGCTATTAATCTTGCCTTTATTTTCCACAGCCCAGCATGCTATGTGATATGACAGTGAGAGAGAAAAGGAAACTGGGCCAGAGGATTAGAGCACAGGGAGGATTTAGGCTTAATAGGATTTTATTAGGCTCTAAGTCGAGGTTGTGTGAGGTAGTTTGACCTCAAATGAATTCCCCTCACTGCTCTTAGTTATAAGTGAGGGCACAAGGTTCCCCTCTTTCAGGTGTTCCCAATATTGGAAGAGTCTTCACTCTTAGATGCAATTTCATGTGATAAGCACTTTTACAGTAATAGACTTTTTATGTGTTTAGTAGCAGCCAGTTTAGGGCATTCCAAAGTGCATTCTAAAACAATGAGGTTTTATACTGGCAGTTGCTCAGGAAACCAACCAACCACAAATGGGGTTTGTTTGTTTATATATTTGAGATGGTTGATTCCTGTGCTTTGGGTTCCTTAAGTGAAATATGCTTCAATTGAAAAAAGCATAGAGATAGAATCCCATTTATTGTTCTTCTTTAAGATTACCTCTTCCCAGTTAGTATCACAGTTGTAATAAAATACACAAAATAATGACTTCTGAGCTGGGAGAGACCTAGCTACTCACCTAAGAGAGGTTCCAATCTAAGAGCCCCATTTTTTATTTAGGGTGTCACAGCTGATTAGAACTGGAACCAGAGTCTTGGGGCTTTCTCTCCTGGTTCAGAGCTCAAGACTCCAAGTGGGGACTTTAAGGTTTTTGACTTCTACACTTGGACAACCAAGCTAAAAACACTTAGCCTTTACCCTTTGTTCCCTACATTAAATCCACCCAAACTCTCCATCCATTTCCATACACCAGTCAGAGAAATGTCAGGTGGGTAGAAGAAGGAAAGGTGGGAAGGGAACCTGCAATGTCTTCCCACCAAGGCCAGGCTATTACTTCTGAATTGGTAACACGAAAAGACTCTTTGCTTCTCTTTTGTCTCTAGGCCTCACCCTACCTGTGTTCTTCACCGTTCTTCTCCTCTTGCTTCATCAAATCCTTTCTTTCTTTAAAAAATCTTCAAATTCTCCCTGTTCATTAGTTCCTTCCCATTAGATCTGCAAATATGATCACTTTTTCCTCAATAAAAATGTTCTCTTGGCTCTGTCTCCCAATAAAGTAGCTATCTATTTCTTTCCCTTAAGGAATTTTTAAAAATTTGTTTTTAAAAGATATTATATTGAAACAGATAAAATAATTGAAGGATGATATGAGATAATATAGAATTATATGCCAAAATGTTTACATTGTAAGTTCAGTCTGTAGTGAAAGGGAGATATATTAACATATAGTCATTCAGGGATTGTATTTCAAGAAAAAATGTAATCCTGACACATTTATAGCTCTCCTAGGTATTGTAGATTTTGAAAGAGTCTGAAATTAGATATCTGTTTATTTGGGAATGAAGTTGAAGGAATTTTTACATTGGAAGGAGGTGTGATCTAGATGACTACAATCTAAGCTTTTATGACCATATGGAGTCTTTTATAATTCTGTGATGTGGAAGCATATGCTTACACTTTTTTTCATAGTCAAATAAAACATATCATATACTTTCCAAAAAGGGCCAATAAAAATCATATAATTTTATGTCAGTTATCCCTGTCTCCAACAAAAATTTAATAGAGTTTTCTTTCCTTATTGATGGAAAATATTTTTACATATAATATTGAGATGAATATATCGACTATCAGTAATATCTTTGGAAAGAATATATTCAGTTCTGTCTTTTCACTATAGAATGTGTGCTGATACATCAGGCTGTCATATATATGATATTATGATAGCTCCTCTACCCACCCCACCCCCATGCCAGAAAATTCAACAACCACACCACAAAACCACGAGCAACCCTTGTTGAAAAAAGAGCCCTTTAGGTATTTTTTTTTGGTGTTGGTGGTTTATTTGGAGAAAGAAAAAGAAATTACTCGTTAGGGTCTGGATGGTTTATAGAGCTCTCTTTTTGGCATGAAATTCAAATTTATGTGCATGTGTGTATTTACGGGAAGAACGGGCTGTGTGCCAAGAGCGGCCAGCATTCCCAGCTTCAGACGCCTTAGGCTGCAGAGGGAACAGGGCGAGGAAGGGGAAATGTCCCATAAAAGCCAGGCTTGTCACACGGCACACATTCCAGCGACTGCAGCCTCTTTTACCATCTCACAGCTTTTTGCTTAGTTTTGTCCTTCTCTGTCCTTCTCTTGGGACTTTCAGTTGTGATCTGAGAGTTAATTAAACAGCTTGGAATTGAAAAATGCAAAAAAGGAAAAAAGTAAAGCCCGATAACAGGCAAAGGCAGAATTATCTTGAAAATCTTGGTGCTGGAGGAAATATATCCTTATACCAGTACATCTCTCATAAATATGGTGCTGTCTCTTCCTTTCAGGCTTAGGTTGCCCTGGGGATATGCCTGTGATGTAATCGTCTAACATGGGAAAGAGAGAGAAAGAGTGGAAATACTCAGCCCTTTGGTCTCTGGTTAGTATTTTCATTTGCAGGATCTTCTGGCATGGTGTTTTGCTATCAAATATGGGTTGCTTGACTTGCCCAACACACCTTTCTCCACTAAGTTTTCTCAAAGTTGTGGTTTCTGGGCTCATGACACGTTTAGATTCCTCAGGCATCTGCCTCAGAAGTATGATCAGATACGTACCAACCAAGTGAGATGCCCTTTTCCCAGAGAAGATCCAGATCCCTTAAGGCAATAGGGCCAGGATTCTAGCCAGCAGGAAGGAGAAGATGGTTTTCTAGAAAGATCCCCGGACTGGGAATTGAGAAACTTACATTCTTTTGCCATCAAAACTAACTTGTAAATTTATGACCTCAGCTAAGATAGTTATTTTGTCTGTAATGCAGTCTCTCTCTCTGAAAGGTTGCATGTAAAGTCCCTTTGAAAACCAACTGAAAGGATCTTAGCATGTGACTGATTTTGAGTCAGAGGCGGTTGGCACGGTATATGTTCCCTTCAAAGCTTTGAACAAGAATCTGAGAATCCTGGAGCTGGAACATCAAGGAGTCTTCTACTTATTCAGCCTCTGGGATAAACCAAAATATCCTGATGTTCCTTATTATGATAATTACATCGTCTGAATAACAGACCTGGATGTTTTTCACAGCAATATTATGTTTAGGACAATGAGGAAGTTGAGTCAGAACTTGTTCTATCTCTCATCACTTGGAGCAAAGCTGCATGCTGAAATGTTATTTGTACGGGCTAGCCTGGTAGTCAAAATGAGGGGGAGAGGCGGACAGTGGGGTCACAGGGAGTGATGGGGACCATGGGGATCATGGGGACTGTGGGGACTGGGAGCGCATACCCTGCATGCTTGGGGTGGCCACTCTTAGTTTTTAAAACACCAAGAAAAAACATGCCTCTCAGGGGCAAAGGGCTGTGGTTGGCAGTGAACAATGTCTTATTGAAAACAACAGTTTTGTACTCTTAGCAACTGTACAATAGGGAATTCACCAATTTAAATAATAAAATATCGTCATAGAAGACACAGCTGCTTTTTCCTGGGGAACATTCTGTGTGCAGTGCTCCTCCTAATAGGCCTCCCTCTTTGTGTACACTTTAGTCTTCTTTAATTCTCCTTAAATATGTTTCTTTCTTCAGAATTATTAATTCTTGTAAGTTTTCTGTCGTATGTCCTAATATTTTTTTAAAAGATCCTTTAATGATGAAGGGTTAGCCTCCCATCCCCCAGCAGAAGCACTTGTTTGGAATATACCTTAACTGTTTTCCAGTGTTTAATTCCACTCCTCACAACACAAAGGTCTAATCCGAATCATCACCTGCAGCCTTCTTTCTTACGGTTCGTTGTTCGTAGGAGGAACAGTTGATTAGTGTTCTCCTGGTATTACCTTTCATATCCATCAGTTGAAAATAGCTGTTTTTGCCCTACTCGTTTTGGCACTATGAGCCTGGAAATTATATCATGGGTTTTGTTTTCCAGTTCTCTGATAATTACAGTGTAATTACCTTTCTCTGATCTCTCTCCAATCTGTATACTAAAAAAATAATATTTTGAATGGTACCCAGTCCTTTTATGGGCTGTTCAAACTGGTGAGATAACACCACTGTGTTGGTTCTTTGTCAGAAAGTAAGCGCCGCACAACTGGATCAGACCCACTGTTCGCTCTGTGACCTCAGTATCTATTTCCTCCCTACGGGGAGTCGGTTGCAGTCAGACTTTCTTCATATTTTATCCACACAATTCACTTCTCATTTGTAAGTGTGCCCTATCTTGTTTTTGATGGATCATTTCTCTCTGATTTGTCAAGGTTACTTGGAATTCTATTATTTTTCAGAAAATCTAGAAACCTTCACTTAGTTTGTGGCCACAAATGACCGAGAATGTGTTCAGTTGCATTATTTAAAAAAAAAAAAAAAAATATATATATATATATATATATATATATATATATATATATATATATATATATTTATCCTAAAAGGCCTGTGGTTGTAATGCCATAACGGCAGAACCATCACCAGGAGGTGCATGGAGCACCTCTCATGGGCCGGGCTGGCGGGGGGTGGGAGGGAAATGGGGGGGTCGGGGGCGGGGGGAGGGGGCTCGGGCTGGTGCAGTGGAGGTGGGGTCTGTGGCTCCCGCAGGGCAGGTCTGGGATCCCGCTGGCGTGGTGGGTCTGGGTCTCACGCAATTTCACTCACTGGAACTCTAGTCAATAATATTAGACCCAGGAGTCTGGGTGCTGTTTCATAACTACCCAAGTTTCATGAAGCCATTTATTTCTATCACTATTAGCTAATGGTTTCCCTGCTTCTGGGTGTTTTTAAACTCCACAGACATTGGCATCATAGTTTCTTGCTTGATGATAGCAACTAGATTTGAGTGATTTAGAATTGTAATCGAGGGGGTTGGTTGGCAGTAGTGGAGAGAATAAACCTAATAATTGCTTAATTTATTCATGTAGCTTTGGGAGACTCATTATATTTTGAGTAGCAAGGTGAGAGAAAAAGGGAAGCCTTCAGATTGAGTAGAAATGTCTATTTCGTAGATGTTTTGTTCTGTGTTGGGCTTTGATTTAAATATAGTAGTCAGTGTCCTATTCAATATACGAACATAATGAGATGCATTTTTTGTTGTCATTACAGGTTTTGGAAGGTGACAATGAAATGTGAAGAAGTTACATTTCTAATGTGATACTTGAAAGTTAGTGACTGCTTGCGAAATTTTGATGAAAATTAAATATGACTTAGAAGCATTGCTTTATGAAAGTTTATGATGTCATCGGTTGCGACTGAACACAAACTCCAGCAGGCTGTGAGCCTGCAGGGAGTTGACCCAGAAACATGCATGATTGTATTTAAAAACCACTGGGCGCAGGTAAAGTATGAGTTTCACCCTCTCTGCTGGTCTAGAGGCCTCCTTCACCCTGACCCAGGGTTTCCTATCTGTGACAGGGTTTCCTTCCAGAAACTGGGAGGAAAGCCCCTTCAGAAAGGCAGGAAAGCAGCTTTCTCTTCTAGCTTTCCTAGAGTAGGTATCTGGTTAAAAACCATGGTTTTCAACACACAACCAATTAGGGCACATGCATGTTCCCCAGCAGTTGGCCTTCAAGTGAATCTGACCTCACTTTCAGTATACTTGACCATGTCTCCATCCTGTCTCTTCCCCTCCTCCCTGCTGATTTCCACCCAGACCTTAGACTCTGACATGACAAAGCACACATTTATTAGATGTTTACCAAGTGTTGTGCTGATTACTTCAAATGCCTTATATCATGTAATCTTTTCCACAAACCCATAAGGCAGTTAGCATTAGCTTCCTCATTGAGGGAATGGAAAATTGTAGAGGTTAAGTAACTTGCTTGAAGTTATGTAACTAGTGGGTTTTCAAGCAAGTATTTAGATTTTGGTCCCTTGACCTCTGTTTTCTACCCTTTTTGGACTGGTGGTCAGGTGTAATTTAAGGGAAGACAGTGCCAGGTGTTACCTGAATTCATTACAAAGCCAATTATAAAAGTTTTTTTATTATTATTATTATTCATTTTGACTTCTCTGTGACTCTTCTCTGATCTGTTTTCATGGATAATTAAGGGTTGAATGTTCCAGCTCACCCTTTTCTCAGGGAGTTTGCAAGTAGTAAAATAAATAAAATTGGCATTCTTTACTACTTGTCCAACATTACACTCCCAGGTGAGCTGGTAAGTGGCTATTTATGTGACAGTTTTTTAATGACTACCCAGTTCCTTCCTGTGTCCGGAAACAGCACATGGGTTAAAGCACTGAGCCTGTAAATCACAGCAATTATGGAGGATACAGTTTAGATCAAAAACAAAATTAATTCTGCTTCTGGGTCATTTGCACTTTGTAGCTTCTTGTCACTATCCAGTCCAAAGCTTCCAAAATTTCTTATGCATTTCTCTGACTTTTCACCATTTGAATCTTAATGGGTTTTCTCTGGATGTTAAGGGCACAGCTGCTTTAGCAAAGGGAAGAAAATAATTCAGGAGTTTTCCAGGTAATAGAATAATACCTTTGGCTTTGTACTTTTGTAAGATTCTTAAAGTGCTAGCTTCAAAGTGGGGTGGTGAACCCAAACGGATGTGCCCAATAGGCTATTGCGTGTGGGAAGAATATTTTAGAAGGCACATTCCCATCTTTATCTTTTAAAATTTTCTATTTTGTGTTTATAATGTACATAATATATTCATAAATTAGTATGTATATGTTTATTAATTTAATTATTTGTCCTTATTTTTTTTTTTAACTTGTAAGATTGCACAGTCAGATGCTCCCTATTGAGAACATTTTCAACCTCAGTCATTTCATTTGGCAGAGGAAGCCTTATCATTCTAATGTGCAGTCTTTGTCCTGGGCCCCATTTTGCTTATTTGTTTGTGTATAATACCTTTGCTTGTAATCACTTCTGCTGGGGTATCTGTGATGTGACCCATTTAGCATTCTGTACCCCTCTTCAAATACATTATATATCATCAACCTCTTGATTTTATGTAGATGGATCATTTGCCCTTTCAGATAGTGTCCTGGGCAAGTTTTCTCCAAAGCTGTGGGAGTGCTGTGAGAATGTCTTAATTCAGGAAGGTGTGAAAATGCTTTTCCATTGGTGAAGAAGGAAATCCTGGTTCCAGAATCATATTTTTCATGTCATGTCCGATATGAATGGCTTCAGCGTTGGCAGACATTTCTGGTTATCTGAAGCATAGCTCCCTCCATTTAGTGCAGAAAAACACCGAGCTGAGGGTAAGTAAGGATAACTTTGTCAGAGAGAATGGTGTTTAGTTAGTAAACACGCCTTTTGTAAGTGGGGATACTCTTGGTCTCGTTGTTAACTTTGGTCAAGTTTCTTACCTCGTTAGTCTTGACTTTTCCTTTGTAACCAATCTGGAAAACGTTCTCGGCTTCTGTGTACTTTCAAAGGCTCTGGAGGGCTTTCCTGTTACCTTTATCAATAAAAATGCTGGTTGCAGAAATTCACGTGGATGTCAACGTGACTATTGCTGGCTGGGGATTTGCTGAGTCCACACTTCAGTATACTACTGCAGGCACCAGGTGGGGGGTCGGGCGGGGGGGGGGGGGCGGGGGGGGGGGACACAGGAATGGACGAGCCTTGGTCTGGGTTTTAAAAAATGTAGAAGTTAATTTGGATGCCAATGTGACAAACATTGTTATAAAATGAATAATAATGATTACAGGGATTAAGTCAAGGGAAAGGACTACTATGGATGGGAAAGGCCTGGGAAATGGAGGCAGTGAGATTTTGCTAGCATGACTGAGGGAAAAGAAGGTCTTGATGTCCGAAAGGTCAAGGACACTGTAGAGTAGGGATATTGGAAACAAATGCTCAGGTTTGACTTTTTTTGATGGTAGAAAAGAGTGAGGAAGTCAGGGCAAGGAAGAGATGTGGGACTAAGTGTGAGGTAAGGAATGAGACCTCCAGTTGATAGGAACAAATGCTATTTATTGTTTTGGAGTTGCATATGTGAGTTGTTCAGGCTGGGGGTGGATGAAGAGCAATTGCAGAGGATTGGGAAATGAGCTAAAATCTGAAATAAACTCCTGTGATTCCTGGGGCTGTAGCCCCTGGGTTTCCCCAAGGCAACCTGGAAGGCCAGTGAGAAATGTGGCAGAGACAGAGCTGAGTGATAAGGTTTTATTTAGTGAAGTGTACATTAGCTGGCAAGTGCAGCACCTTTTTATCCAGGGTGTTTCTGTTTGTTAGTGTGCCGATTCAGCATAATTAACATTGGGCGAGTTCTATTCTACTGCTTACTAATAGCTTCTTTTCCAGACCTTGAGTTTAAAAGCACACTTTGGGGGGGGGGGGGTGAGGGGAGGGTCTCTTGCCCACCTACAACTTGCAGTGTGTCAGGGACAGCTAGTTATGTAACCAACCACCATCCAAGGCAGCCTGTGATTCAGGGCGGGTTTCCAGGGGAGAGTCCTTGAGTGGCCCAGCATTTCTAAACTGTTCCCTGGGTCTAGGGATCTCACGACATCCCAGGTTTGTTCCATAGTGGCCATTCAGGAATAGTTGTATACCTAACAGCGACCCTGGAGAATCCAGGCTGTAGGAAGTAGTCTCTGGCCAGTACTTCCTCTCACCTGAGATGCCATCTTGCATCGTAAGTTGCCAGAGCAGGGAATCTAAAACCCAGATCTGTCTGGATCATTCCTTTAGTTGGAATGATCTAACTTCAGTGGTCTCCCAGCTACAGGCCGGGATGGCACATAGGGTTCATTACGTCCTGGCTTCTTTCATTCCTCATCTCTTATTGAGTTTCCGGAAATACAAAATTACTTGGAGTTCTTAGTCACTGCCCTCCTGGGCTGTGGCATTGTGCTATTTTATGCCTCTCTGCCTTAGGCACTTCCTCTTCTTTCTGCCTGGAATAGCCCTCCCCCTGGTTACATGCCTCTCCTGCAGGTCTCATGTGGGACATCATTTCCTCCAGGAAACCTTTCCGCCCTCTTGTATGCTCTCACTCTGCTCCAGCAGCACCTCCAGTGTTCTCTCATGGTTAGACCAACCACCTTTCACTAACATGACACGCACAGAGTCTTTTTCCCAACCTCGTGATCAGAGACCATTTGTTCACCTACATCTTCAGTGCCAAGAGTATGTTGGCATATTGTGGATTTCAACTTGCTGACCTGAAACACAGGAAACAGAAAATACAACTTTTAGAAGAGAGAGGTGACTTAGAAAACAACTTTGAACATACACTAATATTCAAACACTTTATAATTTGCTACCAGTAAGATCTTTGGACTTGTATTTAATGATCAGTGATCTGGCAGAGTGTGTTGTATTGTGTTAGGTGTGTGTGTGTGTGTGTGTGTGTGTGTGTAATTTTTATAGTAGTCTATAAGACTAGTTTATAGTCTCATAGACTGTTGCTTTTGTCTCTTGCTTCTTTGCTTTTGAATGGAAGAGAGAGCAAGAAGTAAGCACTGGTCCATCAGATAAACTATTGAACTATACTGCCATATGAATCCTCCCCCCCCCCCGCCACACACACTAGTTATTCTTAATGGCACAGTTGTAGTTTGTGAAGCTTCATGGCACATGCTGTACTCATTCTCTATCTCCTTTTAAGCACTGAATCAAGATTAGTTATATACTTAAAGGTGTCTGCTCTTAGAGCCGGGAGAACAGGGGTGGTAGGTTATTAAAAAAATCAGTTATGAATGCACATTTCTTTGTGATTCTAGTTAGTCAGTAGCCCAAAGCATTTCCTTACCACTCTTAGTCTGCAAAAATAAGCTGTTATACAATTTTTTTAAGATAAAGAAAATTTCAGAGCTAAAATAGGGTAATGCTGACTGATGAATAATACTCTTTGTAATATTTTAAGCAATAAGACAAAATTTAAAAAAAAAAAGCTAGTCTATTTAGCAGCCTTTTTCTTCTAAGGAGATGGTGGGGATAGGAAACACTGTGTTATCTAGATTAGTTAATTAAGTCAAATGTCTTCCCACAACGCTGTAATGAAAAATAGGTAACATGTTTTAAGTATAGTGTCTGTGTAGAGCTCCAAGTAGCCTGGCTTTACTGAGAGCGTGTAGAGCACTTGTCCGTGCATTGGAGATGTGCATTTCCACCTGTTCCCCGACACTCATTCTCTTGACCTGCTCTGCTCATCTTCATTCCTTTGGTATGTGCCTTGTCATAGAATCATGACGGAGAGAAATTAAGTAAAGTCTTCGAGAGATGAAAAGTTGGGCAGTATTAGAGAACTCTGTTTAATCTTCATGTCTTAGTAACATTTAAAAAAGTTGTTAACAAACATCTGACCAGTACTTCCTCTCACCCGAGATATTTGTTAACATTTAAAATTTGTATATTTCTTCTCAGCTTTT